AAAAACTTCAAATATTCTCATAAACATCATTTCATGAATATTTTTTTGTAAAATAACAGAATTAATGGGAAAAAACTGAAATTTCAATGCCGGTCCTAATTAAATTTCCATGACTGTATATCAATTTTTTGTTGTCTATTTTTTGTTAAATTTTAACAATGTCAACTTGTGACAAATACATAAATTTTACCGTAATTTTCCCCGTTTTTTCTTTGGTTTCGATTAGGTGACAGCACCAGTTCCTGTTCTGAGGAAGATGTTCTACTGCCTGAAACAAATACATTGACTGATGAGCCGTGTGTAAATATGTCAAAAACAGAGCTTATTGAAAGTGAAACGACATGCCATGCGGCGGTCCATGCTGATAAAATGAAATTAGATAAAGAGTGTCCATCAGACAGTGAAATGGACGACACACATCACAGTTCCGATGAAACCATCGAGAACACAACGAATGGTTTGACATCGTGTAACGATGACGATGATGTTACGAAAATCTCCAAACACAATGAAGATGCTGCAAACAATAATAGTAATGAACAACATGATACGGCCACCGAAGATGATGAGGCCAACGATAAATTGGACAACAAAACCGAGCAATCGCTTGATAATGGTTTCGGTGCGACCGGTGCTGGTAGTTACTTCTCCATGGAAGCCATTCAGAAGATGGCACAATTAGTATCGGCTGCAATGACCAACAACAGTGATAACGAAGATGCACAAAAGCAATTGACGCTGTTGCAATCGACACTGTTCACGCTGCAGCATCAGCAATTGTTTCAAATGCAATTGATTCAACAGCTACAATCGCAGCTATCGTTAACACAATCGGGCAAAACCGATGTGGACGATGACGATGACGAAATGGACCAGATGGAGCACGGTGACGATGAACGCGAAGAAGGTGAACTGTCCGAAGAGCAAATGGCCGAGGAACAGCGTAAATATGAAGAAGAACAGAAAGCAATTGAAATTGAAAAGGAAAAATTACGCTTGAAACAACAGCAAAAATTAGAAAAAGAAAAAACCAATGACAAGTCGTCGAGTAAAGAATACGATGCATCGAAGCCACTCGATCCAAATGACAGTAAATCAAATGATGCGCTTGCCGCAATGGAAGCATCATTTAGCTCACAATTCTCATCAAATATCATCACAAATCACGATGAACCATCGTCACTCGACGGTCTAAATTCGTTGGAAATGCTTCAAAAGCGTACGGAAGAAGTGTTGGATTCAGCGTCAAAGGGTATTCTATCCGGCGGTTTAACCGACGAAATGGCATTTAAGAACGATGGCAAAGGACGAAACGAACCATTTTTCAAGCATCGATGCCGATACTGTGGCAAAGTGTTTGGTTCCGATTCAGCATTACAAATTCACATTCGATCTCATACGGGCGAACGGCCGTTCCGATGTAATGTGTGCGGCAGCCGATTCACAACCAAAGGCAATCTAAAGGTACATTTCCAACGGCACACACAAAAATTTCCACACATTCCCATGAATCCAAATCCGATACCGGAACATTTAGACAAATTCTATCCACCGTTGTTGCCCCCAATCCCACCGGGTCAACAAGCACCGTTATCACCGCCAGCAGCATCAGCGGCGGCGGCGGCGGCAGCAAACTCAGCCAGTTCTGTTCCAATATCTCCATTGAATTTACCGAATTTACCATTTCCTCCGATACCTGGTTTACCGAGCAATTTACAAGGTTTGCAATCGCTACAAGGCTTACATAGTTTGCCATTTTTACGACCTCCATTCGATTTACTCAAACAAATGGGCGCCCATCCATTTTTCGGTGCAATGCGCGACGCTGTACAACAGCAACAGCAAAAAGAGCGTGAACAACTGGAACAAGACGCACCGGCCGATTTGAGTAAAGCAACCGATTTATCGAAATCCCAAATCAAAGAAGAGCCCAAAGATGATGAACGCGATGATGATGATGGTGAACGTTCACCAGTCGATGAAGTGTGTGAAAAGTCAAAACGAAGTCGAGACTCAAATTCACCGCCAGTCGACCGAAAACGAAGTGAACCGATTGAAAAGCGTCGTAGCTTATCACCTCTGCCACCGCATCGTCGGTCGTCTTGGAAAGATGATAACAAAAGCGACGGAATGTCACCGACACCAAGTATGGACAACTATTCACCAAAGGCCGATCAACCCGAAAATCTGTCGTCTCGCATCTCATCGAAACACCATTCGCCAAGCAGTATCGGATCGGCCGCCCGCGATAATCATTTCCATGAGAATCAAAGCGATTTGAAAATGTTTCCAACACTTTTGCCTCGGCCGGGCAGCAACGACAACTCATGGGAGAGTTTCATTGAAGTGGATCGGTCGTCGGAAACATCAAAATTGCAACAATTTGTTGATAACATTGAAAGTAAAATCACCGAACCAAATGAGTGTGGCGTTTGCCACAAAGTGCTGTCGTGTCACAGTGCGCTCATCATGCATTATCGCACACATACGGGCATAAGACCGTTCAAATGTTTGATTTGTGGCCGCAAATTCACGACAAAAGGCAATTTAAAAACACATATGAGTGTGCATCGCATGAAACCACCAACACGTACCATTCATCAATGCCCCGTTTGCCACAAAAAATATTCAAATTCATTGGTGCTACAGCAACATATCCGTTTGCATACAGGCGAACCAACCGATCTGACGCTCGAACAAATTAGCGCCGCGGAAATCACTCAAATTTCACCATCATCTGGTACGGCCGCTTTTCCCATGGGCTTGAACCCGTTCGCATTCCCAATTCCAGGACTGCATCCGGGCATGAGCGCCGAATCATCGAACGGAGACAACGATGAAATGATGGACGAGGACTTCGATGAGGAAAGCAACTATGAAGAAGTATCAAATACTGGTTCGATTTCAGGTGATTCAAATCAAAACATATCACGACTTAATAGTAGCGAAGAATTACGTGAATTACGTGAGCTGCGCGAGTTACGCGAATTGCGCGAGTCACGTGCTCTGCATCGTGCCGATCACAATAAATCGATTGAGAATCTATCACGTGCACCATCGGCCACCAGCCATGCCGATAGTGTTGACGAAAAACGTAGCTCAAGTCCACGCACACCACAACCATTGTCACCCTCTCCATCCGATATGTCACAAGGTGCACTCGATTTAACACCACGTTCCGAACCAAAATCAACTAATGGCCAACATCCATTGCCAACATCGGCGGCTGCGGCCGCTGCTGCTGCCGTGGCTGGCCTAAATGCGTTCCCCAGCTTCCCATTCATGCATCACAACGCTATCAATACCACCACACCGATGATGAGCGGTGCACTCAACTCACTCGCACAATCCGTTGCACCGATGGGACCATTCAATCCGATGGCTTTGGCAGGTAGGTCAATTTGATTATTTTCCTTTATCTTAGGTATTTGCCTTTTTACTGTATTTTCTTTCAAAATTTACTACAAAATCAAAACGAATTTGTCCATTTTGAACCGTTTCAAAACAACAGCTGCCCGCCTAATTCCATCCACGTGATTGATGGAAAGAAATTAAATTATGGCATTAATTTTCCGCTATTTTTTCGGTGCAACCAAATTTCATCCGTTTCGCCTATATCATTTCCTCGATAGGTAGCCGTACAAATTGATTGTGCAATTGCGATTGGCAATTATTTTGATTATTCATTTGTCTTTTTCGGCGTGCGGTGTATGTGTTCACCGTTTAGGAAAATTTACAATGACTTTAAATTACCATAATAACCATAAAATGAATCGGCGACTCTTTCTCAACCAAACTCACTGTCTGTTGCACACTGCGAGATCGTGGCACATTCGCAAATCGCACATTTGCAATTGTAAACTAAACCCAATAATTTTTCGTTTGGTTTTTCAATTGACTGCGTGGCACTGTGTGGCAAAGACTATTTTATCTTAATGTATTTGTACATTTGCCCAGAGCGAAAATCCCGAGAATACGACAACCGAGCAGCAGAGATGTATGTGTATGCAGTGCGGTGCAGTGCAGTGCACACTGCACACGTATCTCATTCGGTTGCAATAGCAGATAATAAACGTTAAAGTAGCTAATTTTCAATTCCATTATTATTTAGAAATGGTTTCGTTTAATGGCACTTCGTTTTGGTGTTTATACATACAGTTAAAATCGCATTCGAAACCGATATAAACTATATTGAAATGTGCAACTATGGGAATTTAGACAGCAATAATATTTGAATAAAAAGGGATTTTTTTCTTCTTCTTCTTCTTCTTCTTCGATTTGTTCGGCTCTTATATGACCTCTCTCGCTTTCAATTTGATGTATAAACACTTTGCCAACTGTTTGAGCCGATCGATCAACGCCGATTCCTTAGTGCAATAATTTTAATCTGTTTTATGTTTCAATAACACAAATTAAAATTATTCACTGATATACACCGCATACTTGGCTATTTCGAATTGAAACGTTCATTTTGAACACAGCAACTCATGCACACACACACATAAACTCCGTGGCTATAAACGCAATCTTGCATCTTCATTTTGTTTCTCTTTTTTTCCTTCATCGCGCGCACACTGAACTTAAGATTGGCAACATGAAAAATATACAACCACAAAATCATCATCATTAAACATGGCCCAAGATATAGACAGACAGAGACAGAATAAAAAAAACACAGAAAATTATTATTGGCGTGTACCTGAAGCGAACATAAAATTGATACAATGCACACACGAAACACGCACAATATCCCCGTGCACACAACAGTAACAGCCACAACAACTGCAAATGAATGTAAAATTTATGCCAACTTTACATTTGACAATCGATATGTGTATGATATCGGTATGCGCGCGAACTAAACGCACAACTATCCCGACGTCTCTGTATGCTGCAATTTCATTTAATCTTTATTCCGAGTAGCTCTCACATCTTATTCTTTTTTCATTCGCCATCAAAAAATCAAAAAATATTGTCGAGTAAAGTGTTGGCTGTGTGTGTGTGTGTGTGAGTGCAAGTGGAAGAGGCGAACTGGGAAGAAAAACACACTCATCGATTCATCGCTTACTTCAGCGAGTGATCATGAATTGATGATGATTTTTTTTTTGTGTTGTTGCTTTCATTCTATTCGCTCAAATCTCGATCGAATGGCCTGAGAACAGGTTTTTGACGATGTTTTTGCACTATCCCTCTCTTTCATTCGCAGTCCTTTTTCCTTCTCTCACAGCAAGTCTGGGTAAGACTCATTCTCTCTGCATTTGTATCGTAGATACTCCGGATACACGACGTAAGCGCAACGCGAACAAAAATTATGTTTATGTCTTTTCTGCCTTTTTGACTCGCATAAACAATAAATGATCGCACATTCATATTAAATTAATGCGCGACTTTTCATTAAATCGCCAATGTGCTGTTGGGTTTTTGTTCCAATCTAAATTATAATTTTAATGTTCCATTATAAGCAATGGACGGCTTTTGTGTGTGTTGCTGTCTTCTCTCTTTGCTTATCTATACCATCATTTTTGGCTTTCGTGAGTGGGTGGCTTCATTTTTTCTTTTGCTTTTCATTTTCTGTTCTGAGAGAGTTATTATAATGAACTTCACAACCTCGGCCAATTGACTGTCATCATCAGTGCCGAATGTCATCAAGCCAATGAAACGAGCCAAATTACAATAAATTCGCTAATTTGATAATCCAAAACGGATAAATGCACACAGAATATGCACAATGTTGCGAAAATCTGTGTAATCTTCACAAAATGCGCATGAAACATCTGAATTGATTCGCAATTTTCTGACAACGCCTATCGTTCGAAATCAGGTTAGACCGGCCCTTTACTTTGTTGCAATCGTAATATTCTTAGCTTATTTTAGTAATTAAACGATGTTTCATTTGTGAATATGCAATTATGCATTCTTCGCGGTTCACCAAATCACTCTTTCGCAACTGCATTTCGCTCGTTCTCGTCCGTGACTCGAGTCATGTGTTATGAATTCATACGCGTCTTATGAATTTATACATTCAAGTCTTTCCACTCACTGTCTCTTTCGCGCACAAACACTTTTTCTCGCAAAGTCTAGATTATATTTCATAAAGAGCACTTTTTGAACCCGAGCAATAGAAACACGAATAGGAAGACCGAAATGCTTGTGCACGAACGAATGGAAGAGAAAGAGAGAAGGAATGAGAAAGTAAAAAAACGAGAGCACGAGAGTAGAAAAAAGCGGTAATAGAGGCGATTAGTAGCACAATTATCAGCAATTAGATGAAAATGTTAATTAAGTGTGTAAAATGTGACTACTCCGTTCTTCGTCCGTCGTCTTCTCGTTCTCCATGTGTGCAGCGTGCGCGTACGTGATTCAATTCGTGGTTGTCGCTGTTGTTGTTGCTTAAACGCATAGCCTAGACGTTTTTTTTTTTTTGAGAACTTAATATTCCATTTTTTTCGTCTTTGTTTTGCGTCGAAACAGGAATTTCAAATGAACATTATGTTCGTCGCTTCTCTAGCCCGTCTGCTGTATTGTCATTTTGTTTTTTCGAACATTTTTCGTCTTAGATTTTTCAACTCTATTATTTGGCTTAATTGCCACAAAAAACGTGCGCCCATTTTAATTGGTTCAGTGTAGTTACATAAACGGTTGAAATGGAACCCAAGCTACAAAACATTCGTGCATTTTTATGAATGACGTCGTCGTTTAATGGATATTCATGTGTTTTGTTTCTGTATTTCAGGTGTTCGCGGTAATACCACATGCAAAATTTGCTTCAAAACATTCGCCTGTCAATCAGCGCTGGAAATTCATTATCGCAGCCACACCAAGGAACGTCCCTTCAAATGCTCCATTTGTGATAAGGCATTTACAACAAAGGTGAGTACTCAATATGCCACTAACTATCATTTGGAAATGTTGAAGGAAAAAACTGGAGGAGATGTACTGTACACACATACACTCTGTTTGTGTTGATAGGTGTTGTTAGTTTTTTTTATTAGTAGACAGATGAGAACCCCGCTCCGTCAGTAAAGCATCAATCGGCTGGTTTACTATTTCAAAATGTGCTTGTCTATGAAAAAAGTGCGCGCGCATTTTTGCCAGAGTATTTAGTCTCTTTTAGTTTGAAAAAAATAAAGAACACGAGCGCTGACGCTCACATTTCATTTCTCAATCAATCAACCAAACATTTTTTTTCGCTCTCTCACACCGCGTGCGTTTGCGTACGCGTGCAAGACATTGAATCGATCAAGAATCAAGTTGGTTTTTCATTCTCTCGTTCCTTGGTTTTCGATTTGAATGAGTGATGTGTTAATTATTCACTGCTCAAAAGAGAATCAAAATTGTTTATTTCTATTCCTAACTAAACGAGAGAAGAGACGAGGAAAAACCCAGAGAAAAATTAATTGATTTTTGAAGTGAAAAATTTTCGACAATTGGCAATTTAGTTCCATTTTCTGCTTGAGTTGTTTAGATATTTGATTGAAGCGCGCATCCAAAATGCCGACGGCTTCACTCTCCATGTATACACACCTATTGCGCTAGAACAAAACGTTGTTTGCCCACCGTATTTCTGATATCTCATGTTTATGATCGAAACCTGGTATCGATTTACCAATATTTTTTTTCTGGATTTGATTTATTCAACAGTGAAATTGGATATTTGATGAATTTTTCCACAGAACTTGTCTAATTTTTTGTGAGAAAATGAAATAGTATGGAAATATTGTGGAGTGAGATTTATACACAAAGCGTCGGATGAATTCGAAGAATTTTATAACAATTAAAACATGTTTCTTTTTCATTTGAATTTATGTTTCTCAATTGGATGATTTTTTATTGCAAAAAAAAATAAGTGAAAAGAATACCAAAAATCAAAATGAAAACGATTGATTTTGGAAACACGACAGAAAAGCAACTCGTCGATGTTAATATTCTTTGCAATGGCATTCGAACGCACTGTGCGTTTCAATCCACACACACACACACATTTACAAATTGTGCTGTTTTTCGGGCATGTTTATATACAACAAGGCAGTGGGTTTACTTACTAGCACACACACCATTTTCAATCTCTCTCATTCATTTGTGGCATTTGACAAAAAACAAAAATTTCATTTTGTTGTTAATAATTTAGGAAAAAAAAATTACGACAAGAAATGAACAAAAAATGAAAACGAAAAATTAAAATTGTTCACTTTGGTTTCAAATGAATTTTCATGCAAAATTTCCACCACTTGTTGTCCATTTCTAACAAAAGCAAACAAATTCTATTCGCTCAAATTGGTCATGTTGTCATTTTGTTATTAATGTCACACACACAAAAACACATCATTTCGCCTCACATGAAAATGAACAAGAAACCAAACGAAAATTTACGGAAAATAAACGAAGAGAAGGACCTATGGAAATGTTTATTTACAAATTAATTAAAAATGATACAATCCCTCTTGCTGTTGTTTGTTTTCACATACACACACACAAAAAAAAAACGTTTTCTGATAAAAACAAATATTTCGTATTTTTGTTATAGAATGAAGAGCTCATCCATACATCCCTCCATTTCCAAATATATGTAAGTTGTATATAAAAACAAGCAATGTACTCTCAAAATACCAAGAGTAAAAAACAAGCAACTGTCTAACCAACAAACAAACAAAATACTAGCCGATTCATCTAGTGGCGACCACACCACACAAAAGAAATCGAGCCAAAACAATCCGTCCACATTAAACCACAACAAAAATTGTATTGTATTCTAATGCTACTCACTACATTTCTTTTTTTTATTTATTTAGACATTTAATAATCATATTTGTAATATGAATGTTTAATCCGAATGCATTATCTATATCTATATACCAGACATGTTTTTGTTTTGCATTTGTTTGAGAAAAAAAAAAGAAAACGCTTCGCTAAACACACTAAAACATTCTGCAAATTGCAATTATTTTGCCACATAGTAAATGTAAAATGAGCCATTAGAAAGCCTTATACCTCCCTCTCATACCAAAAAAAGACCAACAAATCAAATCCCCCCACAAACATACCGACAAAAAACGAATAAAAAAAATGAAACCAATTGGCGAAAATTCCAAATTTCGAAAATCGAAAAGCAAATCGAACACAAAATTTACCAAATCAAAATTTCACAAATCGAACGGAAAACGTTCGAAATCAAGAAATCACACATACCCACTGAATTCGATGACTGACCAAAATGTAAACCAAAAGTCTCAAAAACCGATTGAATGATTGAATCGTGTCTTTTTTGACGGTTTGTTCTTTTTTGTTTTTTGTTTGCTGAAAAAAAAAACAATTTTTTCATTGGCATGCAGCCCAATTACACACTGAGTTCTTGCTTAAAACCCACAATGAACGAAAAATCGCTCCTTTTTGTTTTGTTTTTTCATTGTATTTGTTTTTTTTTTATTTTGCGTATATCCGTATTTCATTTTGTGAACATTCTGCTTCTAATCAAGTATATACGGACGAATGCAAACAAAACAAAAAATCTAAATTGATATAACGCATTATGTTCTATAACCTACTCTTTTTGTTTTAATCAACATTGGAACTATGTAAATCACTCATCACACACACACATACAGTTAGAGAAAAGAGAGCTGCTCAATTAATTTTATCTTACTTTAACTGTTAATATCATTAATCTGCTTCAATTTGATTTTTAGTTGTTTTTTTTTCTACTTATTTTTGTTCGTTTTCCTTTTGCAAATTACTAAATTGACTTATTTTTTTTGCTTTCTTTTTTTTTCATGCAATTCTTAACGTGTTCAGGGAAATATGAAGCAGGTATGTATTGTCTACTTAGACATTTTAATTGTTCAACTTGTTCATTCTACTATGAATTAATCTAAAATTAATCAATGAATTTCCTTCATTGAAAGGAAAAATGTAAGAATCCTGTCGTAACACTTTCAATCATCTTCCAATCCAAATAGCATATGATGACCCATAAACTGCGGGATGTGCCACAGCACATGTTTTCAAACAGTAAAGTGGAACAATCGAGAAATATTTCACCGGATAGTGCAAAAAATACACCATCATTGCGTGTTCGAACCGAATCCGAACTGAATCCACGTTCATCGGCCAGCGCAGCCACTGCGGCTGCAGCAGCAGCCGTGGCTGAACAACGTGAACGCTCATTTCAATCGCATGTGGATAGCAACTATCAATTGATGCTGGAACGTCAACATCATTTGGAGCAAATGCAACGACAACATCAATTACAATCACGTCACAGCCCCTTGCATCTTTCACGGCAATCATTGAGCGCCCTGTCTCCACCACAACATATCAAAAGTGAACTCACCTCTCGCCAAAAACCCACTGATGATGCCGATCAACCCGCAGCCAAACGACAATTGCGTAAGTATTCTCCATTCCAACTCTTTTTTTACGGCTTAGATTTCGTTTCACAACTAGAAAACCGGGTGTTTTATTTTGCCAAAACACACCGTCGAACGCTCAACTTCATTACAACCGAATTTTAAACGTGTTCCATTTGGGTGTTGTTGTATTTTTTTTTAAATAGTATCCGATTCGCAAGACATCCCAACCAGCTTGAAAGAAGCCTATCAAATGCCACCAATGCATGAGTCGGAGAAGACGGCATCGCATTTGGAGCGATTGCAACAATTTCACACCTCATCACTACTCAATCAACCAATCAAATTGGATCCATCGTCGCATATAAAATCGTCAGCCACCTCGCCCAGCTCAAATGATGCCGATCAAAAGCACTTTTGTCATTTGTGCCAGAAGAACTTCAGTTCAACATCATCGCTGCAAATTCATATGCGCACTCACACCGGTGAACGGCCATTCGTTTGCTCAGTGTGCCAGAAAGCATTCACCACCAAGGGTAATTTGAAGGTATGTACATTGGAAGCAATTGATTTTTTTTCTAAGTTTTTTTTTTCTTCTTTTTCCGTGATATTCGCGCTTTTTAACGATTCTTTCACGATTTTCTCAACTTTCGAGTCTTTTTTTTTCTATTAAGCTTTTCAAAACTTTTTTTCAAGTGAAGCTAATCAAAAATTTTCCTTTGTCGTTCTCTTTCTTACCCTCTGAAATCAGGTTCATATGGGTATCCACACTTGGAGTGGTGCATCGCGTCGTGGTCGTCGCATGTCATTGGAATTGCCATTCAACGGTTCGATGCCGTTAATGTTGCAAAATCCCGACTTTTTACAGCGTCATTCGGATTTTTTCCATCCATATCCGCCGCACTTGCTCAGTCGCATGTCATTGGAGCATCAACAGCAACAGCAAAAGCTCGATCGTGAAGCAATGAATTTAGCTAGCAAATATATGAATTCAAATGGATTGTCACGTGGTCATCGTGATGAGCGTCGTGAATACTCGAATCCACCGTCACCGGCCGACAGTGACAAACAGCAAATTTCACCAAATAGTTTACGTGACGAACGTTACACCGATTCACCAAAACATCGCAACGGTGACCGCGATCATTCGCCATCGCCACGCATGTGGAAGTTACACTATGAAAGCAAAGCCGTTAATCGTGATTCTAAATCAAAAGGTGACGATCAAAATAAACCTGTCGAAGAATTGACCGCATAAAATCAAAACAAAACTGAAGAAAAATTAGCAAAGCGAATCAACCAAAATTCCCTGCACGCAATGATATAGGTGACGGTGAGCCACTGTAAAACACACATTTATTATGTAAAATAGACGTTTTATCAATGAAATCAACACTCACTGAGTTCCATCACATGGAATGATACGTGTGACGGCATATTTTTACACGGAACTTCATTCACAGTGCGCCGAGCACTTGCTATATATAGAGCAAATGTATCCGAATATTCGAAACCACATGTTATTACATGTAGCTAGTGCTCGGCGCACTGGAAACGAAGTTCCGTGTAAAAATATGCCGTCGCACGTATCATTCCATGTGATGAAACTCAGAGAGCACAGAAAAAAAAACAAAACAAAAGATTAGAGATACATCGGTAGAAATACTGCACCTGTACTTAATTGCTTTACACATGTCATTTTCAAAACGTTGAAACGTTGGTGCGTACGTGTGTGTGTGTGAACAAACGTTTCAAAGAAGAGGAGGAAAGATAGAGAGAGATAGATTCAGGGTGAGAGTGAGCGTTTTAAAGAAAAAACTAGTCATAACTGTGATTAAATAACCAACAAAACGTATGTAAATTTTAAAAATTGAAATAATTGTGAACACACAGAATAGTTACAAAAAAAAAACTAAGGAAGCCGTGCCCGACTTTGCGTCAGATATTTTCGATCAATGTTGCTTCTGCGTTGCTTCGGCCACTCGAACTGACATTTCATTTGAATGGACACTCATATTTTTAAGAAAAATGATCTGAACCAACAATGGAAATAACCGTTTTTAAAATTCACTTTTAGCGATATTCGGCTAGAATCTTAACCAGTTTCGAGAATCCTGAAAATGAAAACGAAACTGAATTCAGGCAGAAAAATTTATCACATTTTCAAAGCTGCTAATGCATTAGTTTGAATTTTCTGACAAATGAAATTTGAACACTTCCATTTAGTGAGACATGAAGTCCTCTTTGAAATTGAATTTGAAACCCTTTTGAATCAAAAATCTGGCAATGAATGATTTTTTAGCTAAATCGCTGAAGGAAAACTATGGTCGATAGTCTATCGAACATTTAGAGTTTATTTGTAATAGATTAAAAATGGCAACTTAAAGTACACTATGTAAATCGTCTTTAGTTTTAGATGATATTAGCCGTAATGTTTAACAACAAAATGAAGCGCAAGTAAATGCGCATCCAAAATATCACACACAAACACAATCACCTAAACACACACACACACACACACACGAACAATTGATATAATCTTAATCGAATTGTAATTTATCTACAAGAAATCATTAAAAAAAAAATAACTAAACCTATGGAATTATGAAGAGTTTTAGCGAATAGTTGGTCAAAATTACATTTATAAAGCACACTTTTCCTCAACGAGTTGGTTGTGCAGAAAAGTGAAACTTACTTAATTTTACCCCAATTCTATTGTACACACTTATATATGATAATATGAGAATAGTTCGAAATTAAATCGATAAAAAAAACACATGAGAATAGCTATCCTCACTAAATCTTGCAACAACAACAAAAACACCCACACATTTTACTTGTAAAGGAATAAAAAGAAGCATATTCAATGCATAAGTTGATAAGAATAGGAAAAGCCGCTAAAGATTATTTTCTAGGAGATGGTAGGATATAATAGAATCCTTACTGGAATATATAGAATAAACACACAACACACAAATTTGATTTAAACAAAATATCTCTCGTAATTTAAATATATTCACCATCACACATAAAAAACAAAAAAACACATACACATTAAAATCTTAAGCAAATTCATTCGTGCGACATATTCAAAAAAGAAACAAAAAACACACACATGAAAAAAGAAACAAAAAAAAAACAAATAAAATCAAATGAATCAACGTAATTATTATTGAACATTTGGCGTTTCATTTATCATCAGTTTTTCAGCTATTTTTTGATGATTCGTTTCCATCGATTTTGATTGGCTCTTTTTTTTGGCGAGCGACAGTAAGTATAGACACTAAATTTGGATGTGTTTTACTAATGATACGTTGTGTAATCTGTCTTTAACTTGAAATCAAAAGGCCGAATATTTCAAATGGTTCGTTCATCAAGCCTTTCTATAGTATCTACGACTGCAACAAATGAAGTTTATGAGTTTCTCAATTTGCATTCGAATTACTAGATTTTTACGAGTTTTTACGCGGCATTTTTTCTATTTAGTAGCTTTTTCAACGCCATCGTTCCGCTTTTAACTAATTAACCAACATTTTTAAATTGGACAACACTCGGCGCTTTAGTTTTGTTTTTTTTATGGTTTGTTTAGCTTTCAATCGCTCAAATGTCAATGAAACGATTAATCAACAACGTTATGTGGTGTATTCTTTTAACCGATTGTGGACTGACTGTAAAACTGCTTGAACGATTGACACCGTTGGAATAATTTGAATGAATGAAATCAATCAAAATCAATAAAAATGCACTAAAATCAACACCCACTTGCTCATTTAGTCAATTCCTTCGCAAAAAAACCAATACGGTAGCAAATTGCTACCAATAAATTGCTATTCGGTACCAAATTTCTTATCTTGAACCAGATAAAGAGAAAGGAGATCGAGTGTAATAAAAACGAAAGGAGATTGATTGCCATTAACAAAAGATGTGGTACAAATGAAAAGAAAGGAGAGAAATGTTTCGTTCTGGTTTGAAACCCAAAAATTAATAAATTATTCGATTGATTTCGAAACCATTTGGTTGAATCATCCAATCTAGGGGGTTTTTACTCTTTTTCATATATGTGATTTGTACGGATAAACGCGCATAGATTGTGTGCCACAGTGAAGTGTGTTGAATTTTGCACATAGTCACGAATATTACGCATAGAAGCGAATACGCGTGCACATAATGACACCACGATGCGATTTAAGACGCATCAACACAATGTCAACATTCTGTTGTATCGTTAAGTTTCGTTCAAACAATATTTGACATCAACAATTTCTGTCTTTAATATTTATCAAATCTCTTGCTAATGAGATTGTTCTTAATTGATGAAAATTGAATTTAAATATAACACAAAATTAAAATATAATAGCAAAGAATAAGAATGAAAACGAAAATCAAAATGTTATATTATACAAATATTGAAGTAAAATCGCCGATAGTTTTGGTAGATATAAAAATCGTTGAAAAAATAAGTGCGACGATTCATTATACTTGGAAATAGCATCTGGATTATAAATAATAAAAAAATCCATATGTACAAATGATTGAAGTTAACAAAAATGATCAGCAAAAAATGTGAGCCGAAATAAGTAAAAATCAAACACTTGCAGTCAAGTATTTCTTGAATTTTTTTTGAAAAAAGTCGTTGCACTTCGAATTCAAAATAGTCGATATTGTGGCGTCTGACCAATCAGAGAAGGAAACATTTTAGTAGGTTTCATGCGAAATTATTCGCAGTATGAATGGTCTATGTGCAGTATTCGGACATCGAATGTGTGCACTTCTAACGAATAGGCACCGCATAATACGCATAGTACGAAGAAATCGCCACATACTATGAGTTGAAGCGCATATTCTTCGCATAAAACGAATTTTTTTCGAGTTAAATGCCCCTAGCATCCAATCTAGATGTGAGCCACGTTTAAAAACTTAGCTGCCGCCGACGACTAAATAGCATTTTTAGAAAAAAGATGAAACAAAAAAGGAAAATAAGTTGAAAATCATCGTGCACCAGAGAGTGTAGAGATGAAAACAGTAGCCGCTACCGACATATGCATCCACCTTGCATTTTTCCCGAAACAAAAGCCAAATTCAAACGAAAGCCAATTTAAAACATTTTGATCAAAACACCCAAAAAGAGAACCAGCCGACTGAAGAAAATATTTTCCGATTCAAGTACCTATATCTGCTCACTATTGTTTCTCTGCACCGAAAACCTTATCGAAATGAAAAAGAGAAGAAATGCGTTAAAATTGGACGGAATATTTTTCAATTGTTCGTTTAGTGAAATTATGATTGAAAAACGAACCCAAATCTCCAAGTGTGAAATTAATTTGATTAGAAAAAAAAGCAGGCGTTCGATATTCTCACGTCGATGGTAGAAAAAAGAGAAAAAAGCGGGAAGTACAATTGGAAAAGCGAAAGTAGCCGGATCACAAACGATGACGCAGGATGTTTATATTTTAAACGGATTCTTTTTTTTTCATTCGTTCTTTGGTCAGATATTTGTGCGTTTCTTTTTTTAATTTTGTTTTCATCAGCAGTTATGAACTAGAACACACATTGTCAATGGGAAAAACGTCGAATCATTGAATTATGATACGCATTTTGGATGTGTGTGTGTGTGGAATTTTTCGATTTCGATCGATTTTCTTCGCGCATCTTGCTTGAAATGAATGCATTCTTTTCGGTGTCTCATTGTCTACTCCGGTCGCTTCAATTGCATTCCATACACAGTATCGTCGAGATTTTCGATTGACGGCCGATTTGGTGGCCGCCAATGGATGTATTTCTTTCAACCAAATCGTGTATCGATTAATTGAACGAAATGCATATTTGAATTTCATTCATATGTACAGTTTCATTCATGCATTTTGGACCTAGTTACCGACAAGGCAATATAGAATGAGAGAGTGGACGGAAAGAGAAGTCGAACAAATTCAAACAAATTTCGGGGGAAAAACGCATGTTCAAGGTTTTTTTTTACAAGTAAAATGATTTCTCGAGATATCGTGTCGGACTATCGAATCGGCCTAATTTATCAAACTCATTGACGTCATTAATTAATGCAAACTAAGTTCGATGTGTTACTAACAGCTTCTCTCTATTGATAAAATTCCGAAAATCTTCTCAAAATGACTTCAGCAACAGAACTTGTGGCTGTTGTAGCCTTTGATGACTTCGCCGCACGCGCAGCACAGATTTTATCTCAAAGACGCCATCGATCGAATAATGGTTCCAATTATAATGTAAAAACATTTGGAGCGTGCCATTATGAAATGGAGACACAGCTCATGTGAATCACACGTTCACACGACGCAAAAACATGCATCATAGCTCACTTAAGCCTAATAGGCTTAGCATATTACATTATTACAAATCGATTCGGCCTTTGGTGTTTATGAAACTTTGAACATTACAATAATGCTTTTATTAAGCCATATTTTGTGCAAAATGAGTGTCAATTGTGTGAAAATGGATGGAAAAACGGCATTTTTCTGAAGAATGACTTCAACAACCCTTCAATTTGAAAAGATTGCCTACTTATTAAAAATGGTTATTTAGCCATTAAAAAGGCTTTGCTTCCTGCACCAAAACCTTATTTCTTTGTTTATAAAAGAGATTATAGATATTTTGGCGGGTGCGCGCAGAAAAAAAAGTGGGATCATGTAAATAGCGTTCATAACAACATCGAAGAGAGAGAGAGCGCGGAGCGTGTGCCGTTGCACAAATTTATCATGTGAAAGATTAAGAACATGGTGTCATCTCATTGTTTGAATTTGTCTGTTCTAAGTGTGCTTGTGTTTATTTTTTGCCACACACGCAGAAAGCCAAGCGCATAGACCACATTGTGCGCGCACAATAGCGCACAGACAGGAGAAAAAGACCGAATAAAGCGCACAGCGAAGAGAGAGAAGAGACAGAAGAGAGAAAAAAACATGATCACGTGTCAGGTATTAAAAACTATTTACAAGTTAAGTCGAAGGTATGGCTAATGCGCGACACTCGTTTTTGCCTATTTCATCTGGTTGTGTTGCCGTGATATACGATATATTTGTCGTCAGTTAGTTCTTGTCTCAGTGTTTTTGTGTGTGTGTTCATATGCAATTGCAGTCGGCAATAGTACGCGCAACTGTATCTATTTAATGAATGCGTGTCAAGATAAAATGTATTTGATATTCCATTTTTATTACGTGTCACCAGCGCGCGTTTTTACTTTCATTTCGATTTAGAAATGTTGCACAGTCACAGTCCCATAAAAAGGGACCACATTGACTGCGTCAAATCCAATGGGCAAGTAATAAATTGTCCGTTTCGTTGTAAAAACAATCGGAGTTTCGTGTCAAAACACGTGCATCCATATGTTTAATTTTGGCTTACACCAGCAAAATGACAAGCGATAATTGTGTGAGATAATAAGGAGCGCGCTATGTGTGTGTGTGACTCGGTTATCTTACATGATCTATGTTGCGAGACACAAAAAAAAAGTGAGCGGTCGGCAGTGTGAGCGCATCAAACAAAATTGCAAATGATTCGAAACACAAATGTCAACGCTGGAATGACTTTTACATTTTTGGCCAAAATGTGCGAGTGCGTATTTATAACACGTTTTTGATAAGCTTTCATAAGAAATGGTTGTGATTGTCTGTCACAAAAATAAATGACAGTTTTCAATAAAAATTATCCCTGTTTCAGATTCACCGCACAGTGTCTGTCGATGCTATCGATAACACGATCGAAATCCTCAAGAGGTTCTTCACACCGTCGTAACGACGGAAGCATAAAATGTCATTCGTGTTGAGAGCGAGGCAGGCAGAGCAATCGAGAGAGAGCGGCCGAAAGAGGGAGAGAGAGATAGAGGGAAAAGGAGACGATGTGATTGAGCGATAGAGAAACAGAACGGCGTAAAAATGTTGCAGTGTTGAAAGCCATGAATGCTGTGCATATCATTCGAATTTCTACAGGTGCGTGCGAGTTTTACACATAACACACTTTTTGTACCGTTCCGTGTTTCTTTCTCTTCCACGCGTTTTCGCCACTCGCTCTCTCTCTCCCTCATTCGATTTGTAATGTGAGCGCGTTTTTTCTTTCATGCGTTCGCTGTGTTTGCAAAAATTCCTTCATTTTCTCTGTGCGAATTTATTTCACGCTCATATCTCAAATGGCAAT